CATACAGACCATCCCCCAGCACAGCCAAGTGCAGACCATCTCAAACACCTGCACTCAGGCCCATGGTCCTAACCATCCTCTATACGGACCTGCTGGGTAACGCCACAAAGAACCTGAGAATGGGCTCCCACAGGACCTACAGAACATCCCACAGCATGGTCTGGGCCACCCCGCCACGTCTTCTACAGTGGACTACAAGCCGTTGAAAGTATAAGCCCCTTTTAAGCTGCTTCTCTCATGTATTTTGAGCATAATGAGAGCAAAGTCACTCATGTGTTTGCTAAGCCTGATTCTTAGGGTCATCTAGAAAATCTGTGAAATTTCCAGAAGCAGCCAGCGACCTCTGGAAGTCAAGAATGAGACCGATGAACCCCCTCCCAAGGAGATGCTCCATCTTGGGACTTGGGGAGTGTTTGCTGGGTGAGGTTGACGCTGTCTCCTTGTCTTGCTAGATCCAGCAGTTCATACAAGACTTGTCAGACATCTGGACGGAAGTAAAGAAGAAGGAACAGCAGCAAGTCCGGGTGTAAGGAAGCGGTACGTTTCTAGAATGTTCCGTGACACCGAGAAAGAGCGCGAGAATGTTCCTACGGAGCTTGTGGTCCAGGCCCCTAGTCCAGCTGCTGAAGACCAACGGCTTCCTGATGACACACCCTTTGTTGTTTTCCCCTGTGGCCCCAGTCTATCCCAGCCCCAAGAGCACTAAATGTTTTAAGAAGCTGGCTCTGAAGTTGCCTCTCCTTTTGAGAAGTGGTTCGTAGGGAAAGAGTCAGTGAGGGGAGACATGCACCCCATCTAAGAGCTGGCCACTTTTCACCGGGTAGCTCTTGGCCCTCAGACTTAAATGTAGTTAAGTGTTCAGGCGGGCAACAGGGCCTCGGGCTGAGCACAGAACAGGGGCCTTTCTCTCTTCTGCTCCTTAAGAAACAACCTTGTTGTTCCGAGTCAGGGTGCGAGACTCCCTAGACACTATGAAGGCAGCGTCCCAAGTCAGAGTTCCACAGGTGCAGAATCAAAAACTAGCCCCGACCCCATCTCCTGTGTACCCCCAAAACGTACAACACAGTATAGTGTTAAATGCAAGAAAAGCCTGCTGGCTGCCTGGAAACTAGCAAGGGGCCACTAATGTGCCAAAAGACAACCTCGGCTCACATCCTCGCCTGCTGAAATGATTTTAAACCAGCAAAACCAAACCAAATGGGGCCTCAGATGCACAGCTCTAAACGTCAATGACAAAAAATCTAAGGCAGAGACCCTGGGTGAGGACAAGTGCTTTTAGACATCGGCCTTATGAAAAAACCAACAAGGGTCTCACTATATAGCCCTGGCTGTCCTGGAACTCAGTGTGTAGACCAGGTTGGCCTCAAACTCATAGAAATCCACCTGCCTGGGCCTCCTGAGTGCTAGGATTAAAGTCGTGTACTACTATTCCCAGCTTACATAAGATGATTTGTTTGATATATAATGACCAAATGCTTCCTAGTACCCAAGCTTCACTCATCTCTTATGTTAACCCATGATACTGCCTGCCTCAGTGAACAGTCAGGTGAGGACACTAATAGAAGATTGAATATCATTTCATCTACGGGGTGGTGGTGCACTCCTTTAGTCCCAGCGCTGGGAGACAGAGGCAAGCCTGTCTCTGTGAGTTTGAAGCCAGACTGGTCTACATAGTGAGAAACCACTCCCTCCCCCCACCCCCTTTTAGAAACAAAATCAAAACGGCTTGGGACCATAAATGTTTCGTATTTTAGTATTTTTCAGATTATTAGATACAGATATAGATAGAGTGAGATATCATAGGGATGGGACCCAAGTCTAAACAGGAAATTCACTTGTTTTATGTGTACCTTGCATGTCGTCTGAAGACAATTTTATTCAATATTTTTAATAATTTTGTGCGATCCATCACACTATGTGAAATTTCCACTTATATTGTCACATTCATGCTCAAGGAGTTTTACATTTCGAAGCACTTTAGATTTTGAACTTTCAAATCAAGGCTGTTCATCCTGGACACCGATGTACATAGATAGGTACAGGTAAGTCTTATCTCATTTTATGTACATCCACATAGACAGTGTCTTTACAGGAATTTGACCTTGGGCTGATCAAGCAGTTTCTATGTACCTTCTATATATCTGCATCGGATGCTGGAGCTTGAAGTCCCAGGGGAGGGAGCTGGGAGACAAACACCGAGGACGAGCTGCGGAGCTGGTTCATTCTGTAAAGTGCCGGCAAGCATGAGGACCTGAGTGTAACCCCCAGGGACCCCTGTCAAAGCTTAATGCAGTGCCCTGCTGGGCGGGGCCATGCCGGCCAGGCCATGCTGGCCTGGACCAGGCCCTGCTGCTGCAACCTCATTGCTGGGGAGGTGGAGGCAGGAGAATCACGGGGTCTTGCTGGCCAGCAAGTCTAGCCAACTCAGTGAGGCCCAGCTTTAGTGAGAGATCCTGCCTCACAAAAACCAAGGTGGATGGGGCTAGGGAAATAGCTCAGCAGGTAAGACTAATGGCCAGAGTTCAATCCCTGGGACCTATATGGTGACTTTTACAAGTGTATGCTAGTGCACGCGCGAGCGCACACACACACACACATACACTAACAAAAATGTAATTGGAAATTCATTCTAAAAATATCTACTAACAGTGAAGAAGCAGTAGAGGAACATCCCTTGATGTCAACATCTGGCCTCCAGATAAATGCACATATACACACACATGCACACAGACACATGAACGAGAGAGAGAGAGAGGAAGAGGAGAGGAGAGGAGAGGAGAGGAGAGGAGAGGAGAGGAGAGGAGAGGAGAGGAGAGGAGAGGAGAGGAGAGGAGAGGAGAGGAGAGGAGAGAGAGTTGGGAAGATCAAGAACAAGGTAGAAATCTCATGGCTTTTACCCTGAGGACAGACAAAACCCTCTGCCAGTTCTTGTAGCCTCTGAACGGAGTGGAAGGAGTGCCCTGCAGGAGCTGAGTCCTTGGTCACAGGACTGGACATACACCCTGGCCCAGGGTAGGGGAAGAAGCCAGGAGAGAATCCACGAGAAGAGGAGACAACTCTAGACTCCATCACTGAGGCAAGTTAGCAGAGCAGCCGCGAAAACGTATGTGAGCCACAACTCAGCTGCCGCCTCTCCTCAGCACCCAAATCTCCCACGGGAAGCTATTCGTGACCCACCTTCACAGAAAACACCCAGGATAAGGAATTCTGGGTAATGTAGCTCAGCCTAGCGAGGCTGGAGGTCACAAGCCTCTCCACTGCCATTGACCACGTCACAACTGAGGAAACGGAGGCTTTCCCTTTTGGGAGAGACCTGGAGTCTGGGAGGCTGCAACAGAGCTGGCTAAACAAACCTCTCTCTGAAACAGGTTGGAGGCCAGAGGGAATCTCAAACCCAGCATGGCTGGCTCCAGGGAGTGGGAGGAGGGTATGTCTCTGAAACAGCTCTCCTAAATCCACTGGGCCCCAGGCTGGGTCCTGGGGGCAGAGGAATATGAAGCAAATGATCCAACTCCCAGATACACAACACCCTCCATCCCCCAACCTCCCGCTGTCCCTGTGAGGTGGTGTTTGAGAAGCCAGGCCTGTTAGGATTACACACACTTCCTGGTGGGCCAGGCCCCTCAGCCCCACCCCCCACCCCCAGTCCTGTGCCAGGAGCCAGAGTCTCTCTGCCTCCCTCCTTCCACACCACAGCCTCACAGAGTCAATGTTTCGAGTGAAGTCCGGAATCAGGAAGGGTCACACTTGGAATGCCTGTGATCACACAAAGCCCATCTTAACCCTTGCTCGTTCATACTAGTCACTACCTCCTCCTCCTCCTTCGAGGACCGCTGCGTTTTCAGGTTGAAGACCATACCCAGTCCTGGGGCAGAAGAAACTCTGCGGGTCTAGACAGATTTCTTAAATATAAGAGAAGCCACAAACATATAAACTTATTCCCAAAACAACAGAAAGAGAAAAATCCAGAAAATTCAGAGGCCTTAGGGTTACAAGCAAATGGCTTTTCCATGGATAGGAGCAGGAGGAACAGGAGGTGGTCATAGACAGCCGTCGGGCCTCCTTTCTAGAGACCCCCTCCCCAGCTCCTCAGCACCCCCCCCCCCCGAGTCCCTCAGCACTGCTACTGGGACCCAGCAATCACATAAAGAAGCCCAAGGCTACCCAGCTGAAAGACTCGGGCTCCCAGATGGACAAGACTCTGTTCCAAGAACAAGAAGTTAAGAGGCTGATTGGAGAGTTCCCAGCAAGAGAAGACATGAGCTCATTAGAGCAGAGGTAACTGATTGGTTCCAGAGATGAGTGGTTCTCATCAGCCAAGGCAGGAAGCAGGGTTCAGCATGTTTCAAGGCAAAGAAGGGGAAGCCCTTCAGGGGCTCGCACTCCGTGCTAGGGTACCTTGTTCCTCGGCAAAACCTGTTAGCTTTTCCTCAGGAAAAGGAGTTGCAGGGGGAGGGGGGAACAGGGAGGGTACGTGAGAACCCAACCTCCAGGCAGCCGGGTGGACATATCTACAAGTCTGTCACATATGGCAATCACAGCCTCCGCTGCTGGTACGAACAGGACCAGTCAAAAGGCCTTTGAGGTGATCTCGGGTCTCTCTGGGGCAGTCCAAGAGACCCTGTGTCTAAGGGACTATCCCTCACATGCTTTTTATTCCCAGAGTCCTTTGCCACTGGCTTCTGGAGTCAGGCGAAGGGACTCTAGGACTGTCTCATTTCACCTCACGTTAAAACGGGTTGCCCAGAAAGCCGAGATGCTTCTGTTTTTAGGAGTTTGATCCTTGGGATATATATCGTGTCTCTGGGAGTTGGAGAACACAGAGTCCGTGGAGAACTGCACCCTCCCCCCCCCCCCCCCCCCCCCCACACCCCCCCCCGACCCTCCCCTGTGCGCGTGCAGAAGAAAAAAAGAACTGCGACACTAGCCAGGCCAGACTTGGCCTCAGCTTCCTGCAATGGCCAAGAATCCCCTCTGTTTTAACCTTTGAAAGGAGGAAGAAGGAGAGAGTATGTCACAGGGAATAAGCCAGGCTCAGAGACATCCAGGGTGTGACATCATCCTGGGGAGTGGGAGGAGAAGTAGCCGTTTTAAGAATTTTACGAGGAAAAGACCAGCATCTAGGAACACCCATCGGGATGACAGCCAGCTGCTCCGCGGGGCGAAACTGATTCTATTAGTTTTGTAGCCTGCATAACGGTTTGCTGTTCTAAACCACACTCCTTAGCTTCTCACGGTTGTGGGTCTGGAGTCTGTGCGACCACACTGGGGTCCTACACAGCCACTCTTGCAAGATAAAACCAAAGTGTTGTCCAGCTGGGTGCTCATCTGGAGCTGGGCGGGGGTGGGAGGTGGACCTCACTTCCTTGCTCATTCAGGCTGTTGACATAATGCAGTCTCTACAGCTGTGGGTCTGAGGTCCTATTTCCTGGCTGGCTGTCAGCCAGGGGCTACTCACTGCTCCCAGAGGCCAACTGCATTCCTTGTTACATGCCCCCCTTCATCTTGAAAGCAAGGGCAGCACACGGAGTCCTTGATGGGCTTTGACTCTGACTCTCCTGGTACCAGGCAGGGCCGCTATCTGCTCAGAAGTGCTCCTGTGGTTAGATCAGGCACACCCAGATAAACTTGGCACTTAACTGAGACTCGTACCAGGAAGTCACAGTCCTGGAAGCCAGTCTCGGAATCTGCCTACCACGCTCACCAAGAAAGGAGCCAAACG